GAGGCGCAGCGCAGGTAGGCAGTGCGCGCGCAGAGGCGCAGCGCAGGTAGGCAGGGCGCGCGCAGAGGCGCAGCGCAGGTAGGCAGTGCGCGCGCAGAGGCGCAGCGCAGGTAGGCAGGGCGCGCGCAGAGGCGCAGCGCAGGTAGGCAGGGCGCGCGCAGAGGCGCAGCGCAGGTAGGCAGGGCGCGCGCAGAGGCGCAGCGCAGGTAGGCAGGGCGCGCGCAGAGGCGCAGCGCAGGTAGGCAGGGCGCGTGCAGAGGCGCAGCGCAGGTAGGCAGTACAAACGAACACAGGCAAAACGAACAAATACACGAACAAGACGAACGTACACGGAGTGGGCAAGAAAAGACACATACAGAACGAGAGGAACAAGACTGCGGGTGACAGGAAAAGGAGGCGGCTGCACCGGGACCAGGAGCGGCGTCGCATGCAGCTGCAGGGTCGGCGCCGTGGGCTGCTGCAGAGGCGGCTGCTGCAGGGGCGGCTGCTCGGGTCCAGGGGCAGCTGCAGCAGTGGCGGCTGCTCCAGGGGCCAGGGGCGGCTGCTGCAGGGGCGGCTGCTCCAGGGGCGGCTGCTCCAGGGGCGGCGTCGCGGGCCCAGGGGCGGCTGCACCAGGGGCGGCGGCTCCAGTGGCGGCTGCTCCAGAGGCGGCTGCTGCAGAGGCGGGCGACTCCAGGGGAGGCTGCTGCAGTGGCGGGCGGCTCCAGGGGCGGCTGCTGCTGTGGCGGGCGACTCCAGGGGCGGCTGCTGCAGTGGCGGGCGGCTCCAGTGGCGGCTGCTGCTGTGGCGGGCGACTCCAGGGGCGGCTGCTGCAGTGGCGGGCGACTCCAGGGGCGGCCGCTGCAGTGGCGGGCGGCTCCAGGGGCGGCTGCTGCAGTGGCGGGCGGCTCCAGGGGCGGCTGCTGCTGTGGCGGGCGACTCCAGGGGCGGCTGCTGCAGTGGCGAGCGGCTCCAGGGGCGGCTGCTGCTGTGGCGGGCGACTCCAGGGGCGGCTGCTGCAGTGGCGGGCGGCTCCAGGGGCGGCTGCTGCAGTGGCGAGCGGCTCGAGGCGCGCCCTGGCCTGGCGCAGTCCGTACGGGCCGCGCTGGCGCTCGCGGCTGGCCGTGGCGCTGGCGTCCGCGCGGGGCGACGAAAGGGGGGGCGCGGGGCGACGAAACGGGGGCCGCGGGCGACGGGAACGGGGGGCCGCGGGCGACGGGAACGGGGGGCCGCGGGCGACGGGAACGGGGGGCCGCGGGCGACGGGAACGGGGGGCCGCGGGCGACGGGAACGGGGGGCCGCGGGCGACGGGAACGGGGGGCCGCGGGCGACGGGAACGGGGGGCCGCGGGCGACGGGAACGGGGGGGCCGCGGGCGACGGGAACGGGGGTCCGCGGGCGACGGGAACGACGCGGGGCGACGCGGGGGCGACGGGGCAGAAAGCCGCCGCGCGCCTCGGGGCGCACGGCGGGCAGAAAACCGCCGCACGCTCCGAGCGCGCGGCGGGATGAAAAATCCGTCGCACGCCACGGGGCGTGCAACACACAGAGTAGCAGTAGCAGCGGAAGCAGTGAGGTGGTGGGCCCATTGAGGTAAGCGGCAGGAACGTGCTCGCTTTGGATACCATGTTAGAAACAATAGGAGTGGGGCCTAGGCTTAGTAGCCTAGGCCCACACTAGGAGGTAGTAGGATGTGCCCTAGGACTAGGGTTTTGGGTATGTGAAGGAGAAATGGAGAATGGTGTGATTGAACTAGCAGGCAGCAGGATACAAATAGCAAACCCTAAGGGGTTGTACTCACTATTGAGCACCCCACTGCAGGCTAGACAAACAACATAATCTGACATTTAGGACTTGGTATGGGTCGTTCGAGTACCTTGTGATGCCCTTCGGGCTGACCAATGCACCAGCGACATTTCAGATGACCATGAACGAGGCTTTTAGGCTGCTTTTAGATAAATGCGTGATAGTTTACCTCGACGACATCCTCGTCTACAATTGCGACAAGCAGCAGCACTTAGCGGATTTGGAAGCAGTATTTAAAATTTTAGACGAGCACCGCCTACTGACCAAGGGTTCCAACGGCGAGTTTTTCAAGGATAGGCTAGAATTTTTGGGGCACGTTATTTCGGAGGCTGGGGTTGAGATTGACCCGAAGAAGCTGGACACGGTCAAAGCGTGGCACCCCCTGACAAATATCACGGAGCCGGAAAGTTTTTTAGGGTTCGTTAATTACGTCCGCCGGTTCGTCCCCGACATGGCCCGGTTAACAACCCCACTGACGGATTTACAGTGGGAGGGGGTCGCTTTTACGTGGGGGGAGAAAGAGCAAGCTGCCTTCTCTGCCTTAAAAATTGTTCTCTGTTCACCGCCCGTACTGCGCATCGCCGACCCACACCGCCCGTTCGAAGTAGTAACAGACGCAAGAGACATCGCCATCGGAGCCGTACTACTACAGGATTTCGGCAACGGTCTATAGCCCATCGCATACGAATCACGGAAACTGCATCCACTCGAGAAGAATTACCCGATACACGACCGCGAAATGCTCGCGATCGTGCATGCGTTCAAAGTGTGGCGATGTTACTTGACCGGTGCGGACGCGACAGTACGGACAGACCATAAATCACTACAGTACCTCCGCGCACAGCCCCACCTCAACCCACGACAGATTCGCTGGCTCGATTTCCTCGAGATAAATTTCCACTACACTGACCCGCCCCACTGCCCAAATCCACGCCATACTACTCGCCCAGACTAGCCCGCTACTGACAGGACTATTTACCCACGGCTATCAAACGGATCCATTTTTCACCGGAGGAAACTCGCAGCAGTTCGCCACAGCAAAGGGAGTCTATTACGTAAGAACCGGGACTGACCGCATCTGGGTACCAGGGTACACACGACTACGGGAGCTACTGCTACAGGAGGCACACGACGGAGTTACCTTAGGACATTTCAGAGTGGAAAAACCACGGCAGCAGTTGCAGCGATATTATTTCTGGCCTGAAATGCTGGCCGACATACAGCGACACGTGGCATCGTGTCCCACCTGCCAGCTCATGAAATCATCACGGAAGCGGCCGGCAGGACAGTTGCAGCCGATACCACCCCCAGAGCGTGCTTGGCAGCAGGTGACGATGGACTTCGTCACGGGGTTACCAGCTGGGGCAAGCTGGAATGACGCGATCCTGGTCGTCGTCGATCGGCTGATGAAAATAGCACACTTCGCAGCTTCCAAAAAAATCAATCACAGCCGAAGAAACAGCTCGCCTCTTCATCTCCACCGTCGTTCGACTACTCTGGATACCAGCAGCAATCATCAGCGACCGCGACACGAAATTCACCAGCAACTTCTGGCGGAACCTGTGGCAGCAGTTCAGCACGCGACTACAGTTTAGTTCTTCGTACCACCCCGAGACTGACGGACAGACAGAAAGGACAAACCAGACCATTTCGCAACCTGCGCAGCCGAAATTTCCGGGATGTACACGCGCTTTCGTAAGGAGGGCCTCCTCTTCCTTGCTCCGCGTCCCTTCTCAGCGCGTACACCACTGTTCCCGCCACCAGCACCCAACAGTTAAACGTTACCACTCGCGACACTCGCCTCGTTCCTGCCACTGTTCACGACGCGACCCAACCTCACGGTTCGGTTGGTAACCCGCGCTCCGGACCTCCGCCTCGGCATTTCCCACCCTCGGCGCTAGGCCCGTTGCGCACCCCATTTTCCACACATTACCGTTACCACTGTAGTTTCGCTATATATTCTTCGCTCATGCCTTCGCTCATTGCACGCTTGCTTCGATCAATTCTCGCTCGCTCGCTAGATTGCACTCGTAACATCTAGTAAACATGGTGTATTACGACGCGACAGTTACTTCTACCCCCCCAAGATCGACCCTCAGGAACCAGGTTCGAACATAGGTGACGTGTCCTGAGGCTCTTGATCCGTTCTGCGCGCTCTGGATGCGGTTTGGCTTGAAAAGTGCTGAGACGTGTGGCTTGGTTTGGGTGAAGTGAAAGGACACTCGAGGTTTTGTACACGTAACGAACTTCTCCAACGAATACTGGTCACAAATAGCATCTGTATGCCGTTCGATCTGCTCCATTGTGCGGCCGATTTCTTTCACGAAAGAATCTTTTTTGCAGGGAATCTTTTTGAAAACGCAGCCGTCGTTACCAGCGGCAGGAAACCCACAATTCCTCGCACCAGCTGCTGCTGTGCTGCTGACCCTCACGGCAAGTTGCTCACTCGCCTCCTCTTCTTTCCTCCCCTCCTCTTCCCTGCACTAGCAGCAGAAAGCCACAACTGGTGGCCGCTTCTGTGCCAGACTTTTAGGGCTCGTCGTCTCGGCCGCTTCTGGTTGTTCAATTGCCTCGGCGGCAATGCCAGAAATTACTGGTAAACGGAGGGGCTCTTAATTGGTCATCGCGAACTGCACTAAGGGTTTCAGTGATGTTTCCTGGTTGCGATTGCCTCGTCGCTGCATGAGAATCGCACTTCGCAACTCTACGGCACCTTTGGGTTCCAGGACAGCAATTAGCCTGATCAGCTCTGACTGCCTGGTCAGTGAATCGAGTTTGTGGAGTGCTGAAAGCCTGATAAGTGCAGAGGCCGATGCTGCTGAAAGCCTGATAAGTGCAGAGGTCGATGCTGCTGAAAGCTTGATAAGTGCAGAGGCCTATACTGCTGAAAGCCTGATAAGTGCAGTTAGTTGATATGTGAGCTTGATTTCTGACATCTGAGAAGTCAACGCAGGCATCTGCATTTCCATGGACTCCAAGCCACGTGGGACTCCGCGAAACCAGCAGCAGCGGGAGGCTCAGCCGAAGCATCAGCAAGCGCAAGACGTCCTGTATCTCCCACCCCCCGCGTTCCCCATTCAGCCGCCGCAACAGCATCAGCACCAACGAATGCAGCAGCAGCAGCAGCAGCAGCAGCATCAGCAGCAGCAGCAGCAGCAGCAGCAGCAGCATTTCAAGTTTGAACAGTTGGCGTCAGACGAAGTTTCTCCAACGACCATGTCGGACCGTCGGAACTCGCACTTGTCTCCCATTCCCCTGACTTTCGCGGGCGGTCATGTGTACGCTGAAGGGTTCTACGCCAACTCTCCTCCAGTCGCTTTCTCGTCCATGTTCGGTAGCGAGGGAGCGCTAGACAACTTAGATGGTAACAATGCTGCAACGAATACGTCGAGATTCGCCAAGGAGTGCGAGGTTGGCGAGAGCGGGAACGCGGCTTCTGAAATGATCGTCGGGGAAGCCGGTAACGGGGAAGAGATGGATCGTGACAATAACGAGGGTCGGATGGAGGTGGGGGGTCTGGAGAACATTTGGACCGACGAATCAGATAAAATCGAGAACGGGGAGGGGAGGTTCGAGGGGAGGCTGGAAGGCAGATCGGAAGGGAGATCGGAGGAGAGGGGAATGGCGAAGGGACGCCAAGCGAACGGCGGGAGGGAAAAAGACATGGGGGATGCGTACGGGCCGACAGCAGCGGCCGGAACGGGCTGTGATTGGCCGACGTGGCCTGAGTACACTCCGGACGAAGCCATTGGAGCTGACTGGGCGGAGCTGCTGAAGGTCGACGACGAGGTGGGTTGTTGGTGGCTCTGAGTGGATGGGTTGTTGGTGGCTCTGAGTGGATGGGTTGTTGGTTCCTCTGAGTGGTTTACTGCGGGAGAAGAAGGAAAGGTGTTTCTTACTTCGGGTGAAGGCCTTGGGCTGGGTTTGTGTCTCTTTTGAGATTTCCCCAAGGTGGCTCTGGGTTCTTCGGGGGAGAAACAGGAAGTGGTTCCAGAAACCCGTTAGGTACGGGTACAGCCGTATGGCATGTGCTACGGGAAGTAACAGGCTAAGTTGACTCCGTGGTCAAAAGGTCGTTGGACCATACGAGTTCCGCGTGCTTGCTTGCTCCGCTCAGTGCTTGCAGCATTCCGCCTTCACTTTCTGCCTTCGTTCATTTTCAAAACTCCTTTGAGGTTCGCCGCCGTCGAGTCTTCGTGCATGTGTGTTGCCGCTCATCTCTCTTCAATCCGTTCCATTCCGTTCCATCGCTCTCCACCTGTCTGTCCGTGCCCGTCCCGTCGGATAGTCGGTCGTTCCTAATCGTGCTGCTCTCGCTGCAGGCAGGCTGCAGCTCCGTACCTCTTCTTTGTCATCCTCCATCAATCTTGCTCTCTCTCCAGGCGGTTCTCTTTTCGAAGCTAGACCCATCACAGAGGTGGGAGGGCAGCAAAGCGAAGCGACCCTTGAGTGAGTCTGCTCTGCTCATTCGTCAACTTGTTATTCGTGCTCCATTCTCTTTGCCGCCTTGCCTTTACAGGTGGTGGTACCGTCCAAGCTGGAGACAGCTCAAGCGGGAGGGCAGCAGGGCTCGTCGTCCTCCCTTCCCTGGGAACTCCGCTGCCCGCCTCCGCAGCAGCAGCAGCAGCAGCAGCAGCAGCAGCAGCAGCAGCAGCAGCAGCAGCAGCAGCAGCAGCAGCAGCAGCAGCAGCAGCAGCAGCAGCAGCAGCAGCAGCAGCAGCAGCAGCAGCAGCAGCAGCAGCAGCAGCAGCAGCAGCAGCAGCAGCAGCAGCAGCAGCAGCAGCAGCAGCAGCAGCAGCAGCAGCAGCAGCAGCAGCAGCAGCAACAACAACAGCAGAACCAGCAGCAACACCAGCATCACCAGCAGCAGCAGGAAGAAAATCACCATCAGCAGCAGCAGCAGGAGCAGCAGCAGCAGCAGGAGCGACATGACCTGTTTGCGAAACGCCCGACCCCTCGGGAAAACCGTTCTGCAAGCCAAGATAGCCATCAGCGGCAGCAGCAGCAGCAGCAGCACCACCACCACCATCAGCAGCAGCAGCAGCAGCAGCAGTACCAGCCGCACCAGGCGCAACACGCAAGCACACCCAACCCCACCTTCCCAACCCCATCTCATCTCCCCACCTCACCGCTCTCCAGGCCGCCATACCCGCCCTTCCACAACCCCTACTCCTCCCCAGACCTCCCGTTCTCCCTGGTTGCGGTGCCAGGGATGTACGCACAGATCCACCCAGGGGGAGGGACCCTCTGCCCCTGCCGCCGCTGCCCCTGTCGCTGGGGGGCATGCCTTGCGCCCTCCGCGTGGCTGCGCCCGCGTCCTCTGCTTCCACTGCTGGGAACAGCGGCGGTGTGGGAGGGGGGGGCGGAGGGCGCAAGAGGGGGAGGGGGAGGGGGAGGGGGAGGGGGAGGGGAAGGGGGAGCGGGGCGCGGAGGCGGAGGAGGAGACGGGACGGGAGCTTCGTCGCAAGGAGCAGCAGTCAATGGTAACGCTGCCATTGCTGCCACTGCTGCCGTAGCCGCTGCTGGTGCCGCTGGTGCCACTGGTGTCGCTGCTGGGATGCAGGGCCAGGGTGGGACCGGGGGTGGTGGTGGTGGAATGGATGGGGTAAGCATGTGCCGGATCGACTCTATAGGGGGGATGAATCTGCTTGCCCCGGGGACGGACGCTGCTGCCGCCGCTGCCTCTGCTGCCGCGTCTGCTGCTGCTGCCACCGCTGCTGCCGCCACAGCTGCAGCAGCTGCTGCTTCGGGCGGAGGGGGGGAGGCGCCCGCGGGGTCGCTGGGAGGGCGCGGAGGGGAAGGGGGAGCGACGAGCAGCGTGGGCGGGGGAGGGGCGTTCAGCATGGGCGGAGGCGGCGGGGGAGGCGGCGGGTTCAGCAGCGATGGGGGGAGTTCCGGCAAGCAGCGGCTGCGGTGGACGCCAGAGCTGCATGAGAAATTCGTGGAGGCCGTCGCCAACCTGGGAGGGGCTGACAGTGAGTCTGCTTGTCTTTCCGTCCCGTGTGATTATACTGTTGGAAAAGAGGGGGGTGCGTTGTTATGTATGTCGTATTCCCCTAGCTAGCACAGGCTGCGGTGGAGACCGGAGGCCGTCGCAAACCTTGGAGGGGCTGACAGTGAGTCTGCTTGGCTTGTCTTCCCGTGTGTGTGACTGTTGGAAAGAGGCGGGTGGGTTATGTATGTCTTATTCCCCTAGCACAGGCTGCGGTGGCTGCCACGCCGGATGCAGTCGCGAATCTGGAAGGGGCTGACAGTTAAGTTTTTTTGCCTCCGTCCGTTCTTTCTTTCTTTCTTTCTTACGGTTGTGTTGTTGGCTGACATTACGTCGTGGCTGGTTGGAAAGGGTGGAATTTACTCCCTCCATGCCCCCGCCTCCCTCTCTTGCTGCCAGTTCCCTGCTCCCGTTTCCACTGACCTCTCCCTCTCTCTTCTCCCCATGTCCCCCATCCCCCACCCCCCCTCCCCCCCTCCTCCCGTTCCAATTTTTCTCCCCATGCCCCCTCCCGTTTCGTTCAGAGGCGACGCCCAAGGGTGTTCTGCGAGTCATGGGCGTGCAAGGCCTCACCATCTACCACGTGAAGAGCCACCTGCAGGTGCGTGTGCCAGCCAGTACCATCGTCATGTATACCAATGCATGATGCATGTCTGGTTGGTGTGGTGATATCAAGGTTCAAAATTACGGTTTTCGTAAAATACGGTCCGTTTTTTACGGTCGTTTTTTACGGTGATTTTTCAAAAATACGGCCGTTTTTTTGTTAGAGAACTCTGTTCACCAAGGAAAAAAAGAGAAAAACAAGGTCAAAAACATTTTCAATCATGCCAACAAGTGCATACATGCAAGAAGGGGTCCGTCCCCTTCATGCTGCTCCTTTTCGGTTTCAATTTGGTCCCACTAGGTGACCGTTTAGTTAGTTAAACAGGAAACACCTCCTGGAACCGTTTTAAACCGTTTTTTACGATCGTTTTTTACGATACCGTTTTTTACGGTAATTTTTCAAAAAAACGGTCGTTTTTTGAACCCTGGGTGATATCATGGGACTCGTCATTGGCGTCTACCGCGTAAAGAGCCAGATGCAGGTGCGTAGTTGCGCGTGTCACACGAACCGTCTTCAGCCGTCAGGCAGGCATGCATGCATGTATGGTTGGTGCTGTGGTATCATGGGACTGGGTCGCACTGAATGCCATGCCATGGTATGGCATGGGCGTGTATGCAAGGGCTCACGAATCACAATGTGCCACGTCAAGAGCCACGTGCAGGTGACGATTTCTTAGTCGCCTCAAAGCTCTTGGGCCGCTTTAAACATCTCGTGCATCTCCCCCTTTCCCCCTGCCCCCCCCCCCCTCCCCCTTCCCCCCCCCCCCTCCCCCCTCCCCCCCCCCCCCCCCCCTCCCCCCCCCCCTCCCCCCTCCCCCCTTTCTTCCCCCCTCCCCCCCTCCCCCCTCCCCCCTCCCCCTTTCTTCCCCCCTCCTCTCCCCTCCCCCTTTCTTCCCCCCTCCTCTCCCCTCCCCCTTTCTTCCCCCCTCCCCCCCCTTGCATATGTTGTCCCTCTCTGCTGAAGTATCGACTCGCCAAGTACCTTCCAGATCCTTTGCCTTCTGAGGCGCCTCAAAAGTCCATTCTTCCCCCCTCTCCTCCCCCCCCCCTGCATGTGTGTTTTCCCTCTCGGCAGAAGTATCGACTCGCCAAGTACCTTCCAGATCCTTTGCCGTCCACACCCCGAGAAAAGGGTAAGTTCTTAAAATACACCAACAGTTGAACTGGCCACGAAGCCACAGAGCATACATTCCTGAACTAGTCTGCCGAGCCAGCTCTCTGCCAAGCCCACGCTCTCCCGAGCCTACGTTCTGACAAACCTGCACTGCAGGGTGTGTAGTTTTGTTTGAGAATTCACAAATTTAAGAGTTCAGGGAGCAGCGGAATCTACAGAGTGTCTATTGTTCATATTCCCCCTTAATTCTCCCCTGACAGACACAAATCACCTCACGTCATCCGCGTTGCGGCCGTTTCCGTCATTCAAATCTTCTGCCCCTTAAATCTGGACGATTCACCAGTTTCTTTCCTCCCTATCAGGCTATCCCTCCCTCTGCTGAGCCTCCCAGAGCCAAAGCTGGAGAGGGCAGAGAAGGCCCCCAAGCGCTTTGCTTCCGGGGTGTTTTTTCTCTTTTCCCCCCTCCCCCCCATTCAAATCTACTGCACCTTGCTCTGTACGGCGGCAGCAGCAGCAGTGGTGACGGCACCGCCGTTTCGCCGCCAACACTGCTGCTGTTACTGCTGATGCGACGAATTTCGAGCAGTTCACCTGTCCCGTTCCGGCCTATCCCTCCTGCTGTCCCTCCCAGAGCCACGACCGGAGAGGGCGGAGAAAGCCCCCAAGCGCATTGCCTCTGGAGTGTTTGCACCTGCGCCCGTCACACTAGCTCCGCCCCCTTCCCTCCTGCTGCTGCTGCCGCCGCCGCCGCCGCCGCTACCGCGGCCGCAGCTGCAGCAACTGCTGTTACTGGCGCTGCTCCTGCTACTTCTGGTGCTGCTGCTGTGGCCGCCACTACCACTGTGGCTGCCGCTGCGGCTGCTGGCTCTCAGGGCGTCCAGCCTGATGCTGCAGACGGCGAGCCTTCGCTGCTCGACCCTGCTGTGTATGCCCTTCACTCCCTAACCCACACCACCGCCCATCCCTTCCCCACTCTCCTCCCTTCACCCCTCTCCCCTCCCCTCCCCCACTTTAACCATGTCTCATCCTTGCTTTACCATTGCTTCGCTTGTTGCTGACTATATGTCTTGTTCAATACTTGTGTTCTGGCTCCCTCTCCCTCTTCCCTCTCACTGTTTGCTTCTTGGACTGCAGTATGCACTGCGTATCGTTTGAATAGACTCAAAAATTACCTCCTTTTAATCATCTAAGCACCCTGAACGCCGAGGGACATGCAGAAGCGCCTTCCCATGCAGAAGCGCCTTCCCACGCAGCTGCAGCTGCAGGAGCAATTCCTGATCCACTCCTTGTGTGCTTACTCGCTTTCTCTCCCTCCCTCACTCCCCGCTTGCAGCATTCGCAACATTCCGATCACAGAGGCGCTCAGGATGCAGATGGAGGTGCAGAGGCGGTTGCACGAGCAGCTGGAGGTGCAGCGGCAGCTGCAGCTCAGGATTGAGGCGCAGGGTAAATACCTCCAGAAAATCATCGAGGAGCAGGCCAAGGCGAGTGGCATGGTGGTTGCTAGTAGATCCTCCACAGCCGGTGGGGCTGTCACGTCTGCTGACCCCGCTGGGGCTCTGAACGCGGGAGCGGGGGAAGGAGCGGGGCAAGGGGGGGAGGGTGGGGAAGGAATGGTGACAGGCCGGGAAATTGATGCGGGTCTATCCGCCGCTGCTGCTGCTGCTGCTGGTGCTGGTGGTGCTTCTGCTGTCGGTGCTGCTGCTGCTGGCCATGTTGGTGGGTTGGCAGGGCACAGTGGGGAGATCTCCTTGGGGGTGAGCTCGAGTATGGAGAAGCCGTTGGATGCCCGCTATGGTGCTGCATCAACGGCTGCTGCTGCTGCTGACGATGCCGCTGCTGCTGCTGTATATGGTGGCTACGTTTCTCATCCCCCTCCTCACTACTTCCCACCAACTCCCCTTCATGCTCATGCTTCTGCCGCCGCTGCTGCCGAAGCTCCTGATGCTGCTGCCACTGCAGCTGCAACTGCTGCCCCCTCTGCTGCAAGCGGTTGTTGCTGCTGCCGCTGCTGCTGCTGGTGTCCCGGGGGAGATTGCACCGAAGAATTCTTCCTCCCGCATGTCCAGCTCCCCCCAACCCCCCCAACCCCAACTCACTACCACCACAGCTGCACCCACCCCAGCTGCACCCAATCAGCCCCTGTTAGTGGTGTCAGCTAAGCAGCCCAAGGCCGCTACGCGCCTGCTCTGCTCCCCTCTCTCCTCCACCCGCCTCCTCCGCCCCCTACCATCCCCATCCGCTTCCCCTGCCCTCTCCGCACCACCATCCCCCGCAATCGCGATGGACCCGCTTGGAGCTGCACCTGAGATTTCTCCTGCTGCTGCTGGTGTAACTGATCCCTCTTCTGTTGCACCTGATGTTTCTGCCGGCCAGTTCGCCTCCCAGAGTATGTCTGGGGCAGCTGCACCTGGGACTGCACCGGCACCTGAGAATCCACCTGGGAAAACACCTGCTTTAGGTGGGCCGTGTGGGTCGTCGGTGCAGGAGAGGGGGAGGAGGAAGAGGCAGAGGACGAGGGAGCTGATTGTAGACGTGTGTGGAGACTTGGAGGATGTGTATGGGGAGGTGGAGGAAGAGGAGTGTGGGGAGACAGAGGAGGTGGATGAGAGGGGAGGTGATGCTGGTGATGGTGATGGTGGTGGTGGTGCTGGTGGTGGTGGTGGTGGTGGTGGTGGTGGTGGTGGTGGTGGTGGTGGTGGTGGTGGTGGTGGTGGTGGTGGTGGTGGTGGTGGTGGTGGTGGTGGTGGTGGTGGTGGTGGTGGTGGTGGTGGTGGTGGTGGTGGTGGTGGTGGTGGTGGTGGAGGTGGAGGTGGTGATGATAGTGATAGTGATGGTGATAGTGGTGGTGGTGGTGGTGGTGGTGGTGGTGGTGGTGGTGGTGCTGCTGCTGCTGCTACTGCTGCTGCTGCTGGTGATGCTGCTGGTGCTGGTTGTGTGTCAACCCCTGCGCCCATCTCTCGCAGCTCCAGCTATGTGTCTCTACAGCAGCAGAGGCAGAGGCAGCAGGGGCGGAGTAAAGTGCAGACTAGCATGGGTGTGGGTGCCATACCAAGCGCGTCCCACAGCCTTCCATACACCCCAGCCCATTCCCCTGTGCCACCTCCTGCTGCTTCTGCAGTTGCACCTGTGGCAGGTCATGCTAGCGTCCCATTACAGTCACACCCGCATACAGGCACTCATTCAGTCCCGCCTCCCCCTTCCCATCTGGCCCATCATCCCCCACCCAACCATACCCACTACCATACCATTCCACACCCCTCCTCCTCCCACCCCCAGCACCATGCCATGCCACCCCCCCCTCACTTCATGTATTCCATGTCAGCGGGCATGCATGGGTATCCGCCACCGCCCATGCCGCCCGGCATGGGAGCACACTATGCCATGCCTGGCGCGATGGGGCATCACATGCCGCAGCAGCATGCCAGCATGCCCCAACATCCTAACACGCCGCAACATGCCAGCATGCCGCAACAGGCCAGCATGTATTTGAACGTTCACCCAAGCATGCATCCCAGCCATCCAAACCATCCGGGCCATCCGAGCCATCCAAACCAGCAGCACTCAGGTCACATGGGTGGTCAGAATGGGCATGGCTCTCCGTACCTGTATGCGGGAATGCACCCTGCCACCACTGGCACTGCTGTGTCATCCGCGCCGTCAGGCCACCCTTACCCCTTGGCTTTCAGCCCTCTTACTGTCATGCAGCCGCAGCAGCAGCAGCAGGAGTGTGATCAGCATCAGCAGCAGCAGCAGGGGCAGCAGCAGCAGCAGCAGCAGCAGCAGCAGCAGCAGCAGCAGCAGCAGCAGGGGGGTGGTTTCAGCCAAGGTGGTGTGTCCAATGCACCCATGCAGCCGCTTACTTGGGCCCAACCTGGCATACAAGCCTCCAACCCTCGTGCTGTCGGCAGCACCTTGGTCCTGCTCTCCCCTAGGGACTGCTGCTGCTGCTGCTGCTGTTGTGGCACAACAAGAGTCAGCCGGTGGAGGTGCAGTTGGGGGGGCCGGGGGAGGGGGGAGGGGGAGGGGGAGGGGGAGGGGGAGGGGGAGGGGGAGGGGGAGGCGGAGGGGGAGGGTCGCAGCAGCGGAAGCAGAAGAAGATGCGGCAGCAGAGGCATCAACAGCAGCAGCTGGCTGCGGTGGTTGCAGCGGGGATGCTTGCAGGGAGGACGCAGTATCACCAGCAGCAGCAGCAGCAGCAGCAGCAACAGCAGCAACAACAACACACAGCAGCAGCAGCAGCAGCAGCAACAACAGCAGTAAACGGGTTGTTGCGGCGGAGGCAAAGGATGGTGGGAAAGCAGAGGCAACAACAGCAGCAACTGGCTGCGGTGGTTGCAGCGGGGATGCTTGCAGGGAGGACGCAGTGTCACCAGCAACAGCAGTGGTCGTATGTGGTGTGACGCATACACGCTACATTATGGAATATTACAATATTGTACGCAATCAATACTGTACTGCTTATTCCCTGACTGCTTGTGCCGTAGTTATGATTTGTGATCTCCACTTGGGTTTGGCAGATCTTAATTTGCAAATCCCGTTATTATCAGGTTGAAGGGCGTGTTCCTACACGAACCTCTTATCAGACTCGGGATTCGACGCGTTTCGGTTTACTCCCAAGAAATGAACAGTTAAATGGTTAGATTAACGAACCTGATTAACGAAGGGGATACCGTACAAATACGAACCCTAAATGTGTTGTACTCTATAGGGAGTATCTCACAGCCTGCCAGCCCTTCCGTGACCTCCTGCAGCTTGCCCAACAGAGCCCTCCCAAGAAACTCTTCTTACAGCTTCCTCCACCCACTCTCCAGTTCCGTCCCCCCAGCCTCCGCTATCTGATTCTTCCACTCAAAATAAATCTCAGTGCAGAGTACTGCCTTCTTGACCGCAGCAAACGATTGCTCCGAGTGATCATTCCATGTTCCGCGTGAGCGTTTACTGTCACCAGAGAGTGAATGCGCTTGGGTCCTCCCATCCATGATGCAGCAGAAACCAAGGAACTGCCACTCACCCAACAGAATCTTGCCTTCACGCAGTTTGTGCCAGATGTTGGAGGCTACCTGCTGCCCTTCCTGAAGGCCCCTAATCAGTTGCTCCATCTCCATAACGCCAGTGCCAGCACCTCCTTCCCCTTTACACTCTGCTGCTGCTGCCAAGGCCCCTCTGCTGCCAAGGCCCCCCTATATGTTGCCAAGGCATCGTCTGGAGATAGTGGGTGGCAGCAGCAGAAGGGGTGGCAGCAGCTGCTGCAGCAGAAGAGGTGCAGCAACCGCAGCAGCAGCAGCAGCAGAAGTGGTGGCACCAGCAGCAGAAGGGTAGCTGCAAACCGCAGCAACAGCAGGAGCAGCAGGAGTTGCTACAGCAGCGGTCCCACACCCCCCTGGCCTCCCCTCCCCATCTCCCCCCCTGCTTCCGCCCCCTCCTCCTTGTCCTCCGCCTTCACCCCACTTCCCACTGCACCCAATGCATCACCTTCTCTACGTCACATGGCCCTCCCGCTCGCCCTGCCTCTCCTCTCACCTTCTCCACCCCCGTTCTCCATGCCTACCCTGCCCTCCCAACGTCCCCTTCCTCCCCCCCCACCTTCCCCTTCCTCCCGCAGCCTCCTCTGCCTCCCCTCCTCCCCCGCATCCTCCCGCCGCAGCAAAATCAATCTCAAACCCGCGAGTTAGTCATCACCAACCTTTCTATTGAAGAAAATCAGATTGGAGTAGCACATTAAATTCAGCCATGAGTAACCACAGGCGTTGCTCCGTTTTCGCTTGCCACGTCCCCCTCCACCTCTCATCCATATTCCCCAGCACCCACAAGCTCTCCTTCTCCACGTCCTTAACCCTCTCCCACTCCCCTTGCTCGCCTCTTCTCTCAACCGCTTGCTCCCCTCCCTCAGACGCGTGCCCCCCTCCCGCTCCTGCCATTTACTCCTTTGCCCTTGCACACGCCCCCCCTTACCCCCCCTTCCTCCTTGCCTCCATCCACCTCAGGAACCACCGACTCTACCCCACTCCTCACGGCCATGCTCCTCTGTATCCGCTCTTTTCCCCACTGCAGTTCGTAAAACCAGTGACCCATCTCCGTCCGGTGTCCAAGGATTCAATGGTCTACTTAATAATTACACTTACCTCTCTGCAATGCGGCTCTTGTAATTGCTACGAAGCCCGTACCGTGAGGTTGAAGATCATCTTTGCCGCATCCGCCTGCCTGCTCAGAAGGCGTTAACGGCCGCTCCACAGGGGGAGCTAAGGGCCGCTCCACAGGGGGGGTTAGCGGCTGCTCCACAAGGGGCGTTTGCTTGGAAGCATCGGCCTGCTCTGCACTCATTGCCGCATCTGCCTGCTCAGGCTCAGGGCTTCCAAGAGAAGCGGCGTTTAATAATGGCCACTAATAATGGCTCGGCCTACTCTATGGCCAGTAATGGCCGCCCCACGAGGGGCGTTTGCTGAGAAGCATCCGCTGCCCCAGAAATGCGTGCGTGTGCACGTACCACGGAATGTACTGTGTTTCTGTCCAATGGGGCGGCAGCAACAGCAGCAGCAACAGCAGCAGCAGGTGGGGCAGGCAGCAGCAGCAGCAGAAGGGGGAGCAGCAGTGGGGCCGGCAGCAACAGAAGTGGGGCCGGCAACAGCAGCAGCAGCGGCAGTAGCAGCAGAAGGGGCGGCAGCAGCAGCAACAGCAGCAGTAGAAGGGGCGGCAGCAGCAGCGATGGGGCCGGCAGCAGCAGCAGAAGGGGCGGCAGCAGCAGTAGTGGGACCGGCAGCAGCAGCAGTGGCGGCAGCAGCAGCAGCAGCAGCAACAGCAGCAGCGGCAGCAGCAGCAGCCGCCGCAGCAACAGCATTAATGTGCCGCTGGACCGCTGTCCCAGAAATGCGTGCGTGTGCAAGTACCGTGGAATGTACTGTGCTTCTGTTTGATGGTCTGTGCCTCTTGCGGACCACTTTTGTGTTCAATCTGTGAGCCAGCTCGCTGTTCGATGTCGGTGTGTCGGGATATAGGGTAGAGGCCGCCCTTTTGAGCTGCCGAGAAGCAGAAAGGGTGGCGACAGCAGCAGCAGCAGCAGCAGCAAAAGGGATGACAGCAGCAGCAGAAGGGGTAACAGAAGCAGCTGCAACAGAAGGGGTGGCAGTAGCAGTGGGACTGGCAGCAACAAAAGGGGCGGCAGTAGCAGTGGGACCGGCAGCAACAGAAGGGTGGCAGTAGCAGTGGGGCCGGCAGCAACAGAAGGGGTGGCAGTAGCAGTGGGACCGGCAGCAACAGAAGGGGCGGCAGTAGCAGTGGGACTGGCAGCAACAGAAGGGGTGGCAGTAGCAGTGGGACTGGCAGCAACAGAAGGGGTGGCAGCAGCAGCATCCTCCTCCTGCTCTGCGCTCATCGCTGCATCCGCCTGCTCAGGGGGCGTTAACGGCTGCTCCACAGGGGGAGCTAAGGGCCGCTCCACAGGGGGGGTTAGCGGCTGCTCCACAAGGGGCGTTTGCTTGGAAGCATCGGCCTGCTCTGCACTCATTGCCGCATCCGCCTACTCAGGCTCAGGGCTTCCAAGAGAAGCGGACTCTATGGCCATTAATGGCCGCTCCACAGTGGGCGTTTGCTGAGAACCATCCGCTGCCCCAGAGATGCGTGCGTGTGCATGTCCCGCGGCATGTACTGTTCTTCTGTCCAATGGGGCGGCAACAACAGCAGTGGGGCCGGCAGCAGCAGAAGGGGCGGCAGCCAACTCACCCCTCACACGTACTCTCTTGCAGACCAGTTTCGTGTTCGAACCGTGAGCCAGCTCGCTGTTCGATGTCGGTGTGTCAGGATATAGGGTAGAGGCCACCCTCTTGTGCTGCCGAGAAGCAGAGAGGGTGGCGGCAGCAGCAGGAGGGGCGGCAGCAGCAGAAGGGGCGGCAGCAGCAGGAGGGGCGGCAGCAGCAGTGGGACCGGCAGCAACAGCAATGCGGCCGGCAGCAGAAGGGGCGGCAGCAGCAGCAGCAGCAGCAGAAGTAGGGGCAGCAGCAGCGGTGGGACTGGCAGCAACACCAGTGGGCCCGGGCAGCAGCAGCAGCAGCAGCAGCACAAGGGGCGGCAGCAGCAGCAGCAGAAGAAGGGGGAGGTAGCAGCAGCAGCAGCAGCAGCAGCAGAAGGGGTGGCAGCAGCAGTGGGACCGGCAACAACAGCAGTGGGGCCGACTGAAGCAGAAGGGGCAGCAGCAGCAGTGGGACCGGCAGCAACACCAGTGGGGCCGACTGAAGCAGAAGGGGTGGCAGCAGCAGCAGCAACAGCAGCAGGAGGGGCGGTAACAGCAGTGAGACCGGTGGCAACACCAGTGGGGCCGGCAGCAGCAGCAGGGGTGGCAGCAGCAGCAGAAGGGGAGGCAGCAGCAGCAGCAGCAGCAGCAGCAGCAGCAGCAGCAGCAGCAGCAGCAGCAGCAGCAGCAGCAGCAGCAGCAGCAGCAGCAGCAGCAGCAGCAGCAGCAGCAGCAGCAGCAGGCGGGGCGGCAGCAGCAGCAGCAACAGCAGCAGAAGGGGCGGTAACAGCAGTGAGACCGGTGGCAACACCAGTGGGGCCGGCAGCAACAGAAGGGGCTGCAGCAGCAGCAGCAGCAGCAGCAGAAGGGGAGGCAGCAGCAACAGCAGCAGCAGCAGAAGGAGAAGCAGCAGCATCAGCAGCAGCAGAAGGGGCGGTAGCAGCAGTAGTAGCAGCAGAAGGGGCGGTAGCAGCAGTAATAGCAGCAGAAGGGGCGGTAGCAGCAGTAGTAGCAGCAGAAGGGGCGGTAGCAGCAGTAGTAGCAGCAGAAGGGGCGGTAGCAGCAGTAGTAGCCGCAGAAGGGTCGGCAGCAGCAGTAGTAGCAGCCACAGCAACATCAGCAATACGCTGCTGGACCGCTACCGCTACCCCCGGCTCCTGCAGCGCCTTCAGTGTCTGATCCCTTGCCTCCAACACCCTCCTGCCCAACACCTCATCTGAAGACGAGTGGGGAACAACAGTTGACGGTGAAACTGCTTCAGCAAGGCACTGATGGATCTCTCACAGCAGCAGCAGGGGCAGCAGCAGCAGCAGGGGCAGCAGCAGCAGCAGGGGCAGCAGCACGAGCAGTAGGGGGGGCAGCAGCAGTAGTGGCAACAAGAGCAGTTGAAGGAGCAGTATGGCGAGCGACAGCAGAAGCAGTACAGGGAGCAGTGGGGGGAGCCCCACTCGCCCCAGGGCTGCTGCCGCCGCTGCCAACCAACTCTTCTTCCACCCTGATTGGGCCACTCTCATCCGCTCTGTGCCTCTGCGGCAGTTTCCCCTGCCACAGCTGATCCTGCTTGCTGCTGCCTTGAGTCGTTGCCCCATAGACATCCACCAATGGTAGGGGCGCTGATACTGCTGCTGGGCAAGTGGGCGGAGCTGCTGCGTCTGCTACTGCTGCTGCAGCTGCTCTTGCAAGACGTCCTTCTGCCACAGCAGCAGCACCTCCTTCTGCCACAGCAGCAGCACCTCCTTCTGCCACAGCAGCAGCACCTCCTTCTGCCACAGCAGCAGCACCTCCTTCTGCCACAGCAGCAGCACCTCCTTCTGCCACAGCAGCAGCACCTCCTTCTGCCACAGCAGCAGCACCTCCTTCTGCCACAGCAGCAGCACCTCCTCCTGTCACAGCAGCAGCACCTCCTGTCACAGCAGCAGCACCTCCTTCTGTCATAGCAGCAGCACCTCCTTCTGTCATAGCAGCAGCACCTCCTTCTGTCATAGCAGCAGCACCTCCTTCTGTCATAGCAGCAGCACCTCCTTCTGTCATAGCAGCAGCACCTCCTTCTGTCATAGCAGCAGCACCTCCTTCTGTCATAGCAGCAGCACCTCCTTCTGTCATAGAAGCAGCACGAGGGTTCAGAGGGCTGGCAGAGAGCATAGGAGGCTCAGCAGCAGCCCAAGCACTCAACCCTAAAGCCGTGCTGCTGTCACACTCCTGCACCCCACGGTGCTCCTCCTTCTGTTGGCCTGCCACCTCCTCCTGCTGCAACGTGCCATCTGACCAGCATGCGTCCTCGTCCTGCTGAGCTGCTTCTGCTGCTGCTGCTAGTGTTGGGGCAGCAGCAACAGCAGCAGTTGGGGCAGCAGCAGCAGCAGCAGCAGCAGCAGCAGCAGGTGGAGAGGCAGCAACACAGTCCCTCTGCGTGCCAGCCTTCCTCCTCCTTGTCTCCGCCTGTTGCCTCTCCACCTCGGCCAGACGCTGGCGCGTTGTATGCAATTGCTTCAGCAATGCCTCGTTCTCCGCCCTCAACTTGAGCAAGGAATCCTGCTCCTGGTTACCGCCATTCACGTGCTGGTTACTACCAGTAACTCTCACCCCTTCCCCCCCACGCACCTGGTTGCTCTCCTCACATCCCTCTCTCCTCCATTCCCCCTCTGTCACTCCCTCCCCTCTCAACTCTCCCTCTCTCACTCCCTCCCTCTCCTCTTTCCCAGCAGTCTCCCTCCTGTCCACCCCTTCATCCTCTTCACTCCCTCTCTCATCGCCTGGCCCACCCCCCATTGCTCCCTCCTCCTCACCCCCAACCGCACTCAATCCCACTCTATCTCCCTCGGCCCTTCACTCCAACCCCCTCGTCTCCTCGTCCTCCTTCCTCTTCTCCTTCTCTCCCCTCTCCTCCTCCTCTCTCCTCTCCTCGTCCTCTCTCCTCTCCTCCTCTCTCCTCTCCTCCTCATCCTTCCTCTCTTCCTCCTCTCTCCTCTGTTGCTTCCACTCCTCTCTCCTCTTCTCCTCCTCTCTCCCCTTCTCCTCAAGTTTCCGCTTCTCGTCCTTTAACCTCTGCAACAAAATCAGCTGCATCATCTCCTCGTCTGACTCGCCCTCCTCGTCTGACTCGCCATCCTCGTCTGACTCGCCCTCCTCGTTTGACTCGCCCTCCTCGTCTGACTCGCCCTCCTCGTTTGACTCGCCCTCCTCGTTTGACTCGCCCTCCTCGTTTGAATCGCCCTCCTCGTTTGACTCGCCCTCCTCGTTTGACTCCCCCTCCTCGTTTGACTCCCCCTCCTCGTTTGACTCGCCCTCCTCGTTTGACTCGCCCTCCTCCTCGCCTGACTCGCCCTCCTCGTTTGACTCGCCCTCCTCCTCGTTTGACTCGCCCCCCTCCTCGTTTGACTCGCCCTCCTCGTTTGACTCGCCCTCCTCGTTTGACTCGCCCTCCTCGTTTGACTCACCGCCCTCCTCGTCTGACTCGGAGCAGTTACCGTCCTCCCAATCACCGCTCTCCACCCTTCTCCACCTGCCGTCAGGAAACACTTCCACCTCGCTGTCCGCCTTCCTCGTTTCTTCAAGAATCTTTTGCACTGTTGGGAGAGCGGTCGGGTGCAGTGTAGTGCGGTGAAGGGGTGGGGAAGAGGAGAGGGCGGAAGAAAAAAAAGGATGAGCCATCATCAAACCCACTGCCGCTCACCACCCCCCTATACCTGCCCTGCCACAAAAGAACTGCTCCACCTTGCCGTCCTCTCCTTTGTTCCTTCCGGAATCTTTTGCACTGTTGGAAAGGAAGGGGGGAACGTGGGGAAAGTGGGGAAGGATATGAAGGAAGAGGGGAATAGAGGCAGATGAGGAAATTGGAGAAACACAGAAAATTAGTGAGTCTCAGCAGCCACATTACCACTTTCCACCCTTCTCCACCTGCCATCTGAGAACACCTACTACACTTCATCCTCTCATGTCTTTAAGGAAATAAAAAAAAAGAAACACAGTTTTGGGAGAGCAAGGGAGTGGAGCAATTGTTGAGTGTCATCAGAATCGGCACACCTGCTGCTCACCTCACCACCCGCCTCTACCCGCCATCTGGAAACACCTCCCACTCGCCATACTTCTCACTTGTTGCTTTTATAGCATCTTTTGCACTAGTGGGGTGGAGGATGGGGAGTGTGGTGCTATGGAGCGCAGTGAGAAGCGATTGGTTGTAATGGGTTGCAGAGTGATACAGTGTGCTCTCATATGTCTACTCACTGAATCCATCCAAAAACAAATCGGACCACAGCAGCGGCTGGTAGCAAATAGGGCAGTGCCACGCCATCTTGTCGTTCTTGGCCAAGCCTTGGTTCAAGCGGAGGTAAGGCGCGAGATCAAACGTGCTATCATGAGAGCACTTGTTGCCGCGCACTGGCACCTGCAATGGGAGAAAAGAGAATGTGGGATGGATGAATCAAAAGAGGCATCTTGAAGCGGAGGAGGAGGAGGAGGAGGAGGAGGAGGAAGAGGAGGAGGAGGAGGAGGAGGAGGAGGAGGAGGAGGAGGAGGAGGGGGGGGAGGAGGGAGGGGAGGAGGAGGGAGAGGAGGAGAGAAGTGAGAGGAGGAGGGAGGGGAGGAGGAGGAGGAGGGAGTGGAGGGAGTGGAGGGAGAGGAGGGAGAGGAGGAGGGGGGGGAGGAGGAGGAGGAGGAGGAGGAGGAGAGGAGGAGGAGGGGGGGGGGGGAGGGGGGGGGAGGCGGGCGGGGAGGAGGGAGGGGGGAGGGGGAGAGGAGGAGAGAAGTGAGAGGAGGAGGGAAGGGAGGAGGAGGAGGGGGAGTGGAGGGAGTGGAGGAGAGGAGGAGGGAGAGGAGGAGGGGGGGGAGGAGGAGGAGGAGGAGGAGGAGGAGGAGGAGGAGGAGGGGGGGGGAGGGCGGGAGGAGGGAGGGAGGAGGGGAGAGGAGGGAGAGGAGTGAGAGGAGGAGGGAGGGGAGGAGGAGGAGGAGTGGAGGGAGTGGAGGGAGAGGAGGGAGGGAGAGGAGGAGGAGGAGGAGGAGGAGGGGGAGGAGGAGGAGGAGGAGGAGGAGGAGGAGGAGGAGGAGGAGGAGAAGACGACGACAGTTACGAGACGAAAGTTGAAGAGGAGGGGCTAATAGGAGGGCAGGGCAATGGATCCGACCTTGATGCAGCGAGAGAGAGGCCACTTGAGGCCTGAGTCTCAATGCCATCCACACTTGATGTGTTTCATAATGAATCTGACCTTGATGCGTTTGAGGGAGATAGGGCACGTGAGGCTGATCACGAAGCTTTGTAATTCAACGCCGTCCTCCCTTGACAGCGCTGATGAGCTTCTCACCATCTCCGCCACCACCACCTCACTCGCCCGCACCTTCCTCGTTAGCATCACCTCCTCCTGTGTGTAATAGGGAGAGAAAGGGGGGAGAGGTGAGAGCACTCACTGGTCAATTCTAATCCTCACTCGCGCTCTCACCTTCTTTTCTAGAATCGCCACCTCCTGTGTCGCCAATCCCTCACCCAGTACAGCTCCGCCCACTCCCTCACGTAGTACGCATCATCAGGCACTCACCAGCTGCTTGATGCCTTTCTCCGTGAGCATCATCGTGAGCACCTCAGGGGGGTTGTAAGCCACCACTCGCTCCACCCAGTACAAATCCACGTCCGCCCTTTCGCACACCTCCCCCCGACGTCACACAGCCTCTCCAGGCTATCCTGACACTCTTTCAAGAACGCCGACAGCCAGGATCGTCTCAAAGAGCTCCTCCTTCGCTGCTCTCTCTGTTAGAATCTATCTTCTTGTGTAACCTGCATAGATGTTATAGGTTAGGCTAGAGTTAAGCACCCAAACTCAGTTTGGGTGTACAAACAGGGGTCACCCAGTTTGTAGGTTGGAAACCCAACCTTGGTCCAATTATTGGACCCCAAAGGTTGGGTTGGGTAGAATTATTGGTTCACTCCAATAATGTTGGCCCAACTCCAACTTGGCCAACATTATTGGACCCCACCAATAATCCCCCAACCCAACTTCTTGGTTGGGGTCCAATAATGCTCACCTAGGCTAGGATCCAACCCACTCCCTATGTAAACCCCCAATCTCCTCAATTCAATCATCAACTTCTCTTCAAACTATTGTTCTCACATGGTATAGAGCTCTTAATTCCTAGGCCTACTCTATTAACTTTTCAAAGGCCACTACAACCCCGGCCTCCTTCCTCATCTCCTCAAGCGCTCCCTTCCTCGCAGCCCCGCGGCCTCCCACGCCGCCAAGGCCCGCACCACACCCCCCCCCCCCTCCCCCCTTCCGCGGCCCCATCGCCGCTTCCGCGCTCGCCTCGTCGCGGTCCCGCCGACCGCTGCCGCCCACGCCATTCCGCAGCCTCGCCACCGCTTCCGCGCCGGCGCCTCCACGGCCTCTCCGGCCGCCGCCACTCGCTCCGCGGCCTCGACGCCGCCTCCGCGCAAACGCCGCCGCGGCTCCACCAGCCGCCGCCGTCCGCGCCGCTCCCTCCCGCGGCCTCGTCGCCGCCTCCGCGCCGACTCCGCCGCGGCCTCGCCAGCCGCCGCCGTCCGCCGCTCCCTCCCGCGGCCTCGTCGCCGCCTCCGCGCCGACTCCGCCGCGGCCTCGCCAGCCGCCGCCGTCCGCGCCGCTCCCTCCCGCGGCGTCGGCGCGGAGCTCGCCAGCCGCCGCCGTCCGCGCCGCTCCCTCCCGCGGCCTCGTCGCCGCCTCCGCGCCGACTCCGCCGCGGCCTCGCCAGCCGCCGCCGTCCGCGCCGCTCCCTCCCGCGGCGTCGGCGCGGAGCTCGCCAGCCGCCGCCGTCCGCGCCGCTCCCTCCCGCGGCCTCGTCGCCGCCTCCGCGCCGACTCCGCCGCGGCCTCGCCAGCCGCCGCCGTCCGCGCCGCTCCCTCCCGCGCGTCGGCGCGGAGCTCGCCAGCCGCCGCCGTCCGCGCCGCTCCCTCCCGCGGCCTCGTCGCCGCCTCCGCGCCGACTCCGCCGCGCGCCTCCGCGCCGCTCCCTCCGCGGCGTCGGCGCGGAGCTCGCCAGCCGCCGCCGTCTGCGCCGCTCCCTCCCGCGGCCTCGTCGCCGCCTCCGCGCCGACTCCGCCGCGGCCTCGCCAGCCGCCGCCGTCCGCGCCGCTCCCTCCCGCGGCGTCGGCGCGGAGCTCGCCAGCCGCCGCCGTCCGCGCCGCTCCCTCCCGCGGCCTCGTCGCCGCCTCCGCGCCGACTCCGCCGCGGCCTCGCCAGCCGCCGCCGTCCGCGCCGCTCCCTCCCGCGGCGTCGGCGCGGAGCTCGCCAGCCGCCGCCGTCCGCGCCGCTCCCTCCCGCGGCCTCGTCGCCGCCTCTGCGCCGACTCCGCCGCGGCCTCGCCAGCCGCCGCCGTCCGCGCCGCTCCTCCCGCGGCGTCGGCGCGGAGCTCGCCAGCCGCCGCCGTCCGCGCCGCTCCCTCCCGCGGCCTCGTCGCCGCCTCCGCGCCGACTCCGCCGCGGCCTCGCCAGCCGCTGCCGTCCGCGCCGCTCCCTCCCGCGGCCTCGTCGCCGCCTTCGTGCCAGCGCCGCCGCGGCCTCGCCAGCCGCCGCCGCCTGCGCCGCGGCCTCATCGCCGCCTCACCTCCCCCCGTGACCACTGCGGGCCCACCCGCAGCCGTCCTCCATGGCTACCGCCACACCCTCCCCCGCCCCCCTCCCTCCACCTATTGACACCTCCTCCATCGATAAGCTGCAGCTCGCCGCAGACAAATCCGCCATTAATTGGCACTCCTTCGTCGGCAGCATCCGACGAGTTCTCTCCGACGCATGGGTTCCCCCCTACCGTGTCCTTGATGTCCTCCTCCGCCGTCCCCATGCACTCCCCCCCACCGAACCTGACCACCCGGGCGAGACTCCCCCTCTCCCTCCCTCTCCCGGCGATCCTCCTCTTGAACCCGACCTCCAATTCACCGCCAACCAAGCCACGGCCGATGCAGACTTCATCCTACGCCGCCGTGCGTACCTTATCAAGAAAGCAGAGTACGATGCAGCAGTCGAAGCCTATGACCAGGCAGTTACGGCCGCAACGCTACTTCGCCGTCGTCGCCACGCTACCACTTCGCCGTCATGGCCACCTACACCCCGAAACTTATCGCCTGGAGAAGTTCGAGATGGCACAAGCCAAACCGGTCTCCACCCCTCTCCCCTTCAGTCACCAGCTTGCGCCACCCCACCTCCCCCTTGTCGCGTTATTAACACTTAGCTGGCAACTAAGTGTGAATACCACAGCAGCCAAGGTGAGGGTGTACTATAGTTTACCGTTTTGTACTCTAATTTCATTTGTGTGCTTGGAATGTATTGTACTGTACTGCAGAGCCGAGTAGCTGGGGATTTTGAGTGGTTTAGTGGAGAGGCGGATTCAAGGAGGTTGGTGGAGGCGAATTCAATTCCAGCCTGTGAATTCAATTTCGAAGTCACCAGGCTGGAAGGCGGTGCGCATTCCTAGGTGCCCAGTGGGGACACAGCTACACCATTTGAGACCTTGCGAGCAGCCCGGCTGACTCGCTTGGTGCACAGGAGCTTGCTTGTGGAGGAAGCAACCTAGGCACGGGGTGGGAATAGATGTAGGCAGGAGTAGCACTCGGGCTTCTTGCTTTTTGCTTGTATGTTTCTCGTTTACTGCAATTTGCTTTCCTAATCCGAAGGGAACTAGCAGTAGGAGAAGCTAACAGCAATCTGACTGAGCCCTTGCGAGGGAGTTTAGACTGGTGGCATACAAGCAAAAAGGCTTACGACTGTCTAGAGTACAGGGGACAGGCTTGACCGCCTGGAGTAGAGCACGGTGATGCGCCATGAGGCATGAGTGAATTTGATCAGGAGCTTCATACTCATCAACTGCGCTCGGGTCACCGATTCCTGCGAGGATGATTGAGGGACGTGATCCGCCGATTAGGACGCCTGGATTTCGCGCGGGAGAGGGAGATAACAACGTACGAGGCCATCAAGGATCGGATCGGGAGAAGGAAGGGAGCGGACTGAGAGAACAACCGCTCAGCTCAGCTTGTGATTCACGCACCGGCGGAGAAGCGGAATTCGCCCTGGGGGACTGGACCTCGACGAGGACCTCCTGATGGGAGGGGAAGATAATTACGAAGAAAGGCGAAGTCAGAAAGGAGGAGACGATCACCATGAAGAACGACGAAGCCTGAGAGAAGGAGACGACCAGCAAGAAGAGCGGCGAAGTCAGAGGGAGGAGAACACTATCATGGATTCTCAGCGGGTGCGTACGAAGCCATGGAGGCCGGAAGAGGAGTCGGCCTGCTGGGAGTGGAGAAAGAGGGACGACGAGCTGGGGACTGGCAGATCGATGAACGCTGCTGCACCCACGAAAATCGGTGCCAGATCGCTTCTCGGGGACGCCAGGAGAAGAGCCCACGCTAAAGAACTACCTCATGATGATAGAAGACATCCGCTACTGCTGGGATAGGGAAGGGCTGGATCCCATCGAATTTTTCAGAGGTTTGGGGAGGACTCTTAAGGGAGAAGCGCTGACGCATTACCGTTGTGGAAAGGCAGGGGCTGCTGCAGAATAAGAGAGAGACCTCCCAGCTGCGATGATCACGGACCGATTTTTGGAAAAGCCTGCAAGAACAATTCCAATTCCGGGCATTCGGCAACAAGATGGCAGAATTTCAGAACTTCATTCGAGCCACTCCAGAGTCGCTGCTGGCCTATTACAACAGGCTGCTGGAGCTGGCAGAGGACATGGCTGCATGGAAGAACGTATCTTGTGACTAAATTTGTCAACGGGCTGGATAAAGACTTGATAAGTGACATGAGGAGCCGGCTATTCTCCCTGGGAGTACGAGCCACGCTGCGGCAGGTATACCAGGTGGCGAAAGAAGTGGGAAGAAGGGAAGCAGTTTTATGATGGCATGCAGGGGTCGAGTTCCAGTCGGCCGACCGAGCGGAGAAGGCCAGCTTGGGCAGCAGTGGAGGGCAGAAGGGGAGAGGAGGAGCGAAGAGACAGGCCTCCAGAAGATACAAGGCGCTGTCATAAATGTGGGGAGCAGGGGCATCTGCGTAGGGATTGTGCGGTGGGGATAACATGCGATACCTGCGGAGCAAAGGGGCACTTTAGACGGGATTGCCCCAAGGCGCCAATATGTACTGGCTGCGGGAAAAGGGGACATACGGAAGCCAGATGTTACAGTAAGGGAGAGCGGACGAAAGG